ATTCCCCGTGGAAATAACCACCATTTTAACTTCTTCTGTAAAACTGTCCCTCTTGTTTATCCTCCTTCTCAGCCACAGTTTTCTTCGCTTTTATCGGTAAAGAAGTGCCCATTTCGCTACCCACAGACCGCCTTTTTTGTCTCTGCGCAAAAAACGAGTACAGGTGGCGCCAAGCAGTGATTTATTTCAGACAGCCGATTGTCTACACTTGCACAAAACAGCATCAGCGCTTTATAACAATGCTCCTTTTATCACACTGTTCCCTTTATAGAACGCTTTATCACATCATTGCCTTTATCAAGCTACTCTCTTTATCACATTCTCTATTGATGGAATATTCTTTATCACTCTACTCCTTTCATCGTACGGCTCCTTTTATCACACTGCTCTCTTTAAAATACACTATTCATCCCATTACCCTTTTGTTACTTTATTTATCGCATTCTCTTTAACACAACACTCCAGTTCTCGCTCTGCTCCCTTTTATATTACTCTCTTTCTTTGTCACGCTACTCCCTTCGTTAAATCACCCTCTGTATCGCATTCTCAATACCTTTTGCACTTTACTCTATTTATCACATTGCTCCCTTTATCACACTACTCCTTCGTCCACAGGTAGTTCGTTTAACTAATACGATTGACCAACAGACCCACTCTTCTTACGGATTTTGCCTCATTGTCTGCGACCATCATCCGGTTTTCTTATCACCGGGATCATTATGTGTCCCCTTTTGACAGTCTGAGCCAATTGTTTAGTAGCAGCTAGCCTTCTTACCTTTTTATTTATTTGCTATTGATAAGTTGACGAATCTAGAACTTTTACTTAGCTTAGGACTGTAATAAGTCCCATCCAGCAAGAACTGCCATTCAAATCTGACCTTTATTTATATCCTTAAGCTTAACAGAACACCCATTATAATGACGTCGGTTGGCTGTCACCTCTTCTGTGATGCTGTTGCCAATTGCTCTCCCGATGCCTTCGCTTAAAACCATCGCTTATCCCACTCACACGCTTCGACGTAATCTGCCGCGTGATCTAAAGCTGCCTTGAAATCGCGCAGACACACAATGATGCCAGACAGCAGTGCCACCACGTATCGTCAGCCTGGAACACCAGGTGATAGCTGACAGGTAGAATGATCGTTTGGTGTCAGTTTCCGTCCTCCTGTGCTGAGATATTTTGCGATCAATACGACGTTAGAGAGGAGTTGAGAATGAAAAAAGAAGAAGGAAAAAAAGGGCGGGTGCTTTTTTTCTCTTTCTGTCTGTCTGACTCTCTCTCTCTCTCTTTCTCTCTCTCTCTCTCTCTCTTTCTCTCTCTCTCTCTCTCTTTCTCTCTCTCTCTTTTTTTCTCTCCATGACAGATGCACTTCGGTTTATAGTCCCTCGCCCCTTATCGCATTCTTGCATTGTCCGGAATTTCTTCTCTTTTCTTTTTGGTTTCTTTGTGCCTCAATTCAAACATGCGGATTTTTATATATATATATATATATATATATATATATATATATATATATATATATATATATGTATATATATATATATATATATATATATATATATATATATATATATATATATATATATATATATATTGACCGTACTTATTATACTGTCCATTATCCTATGAATAATATGGAAATCCTTATGGTAAATTCTTAGCGATTCTGAACATGCCATGTTTGCTCTGTGACAAGTATGACAAATATTCTCTTTTCTTCCTATCTCCCCTACTAATTACGAGGAGCCTCCCCTTGCAAAGCCGTTTACAAGAACTCCTTTATACCAGAGCCAAATATAATGAGGCTAAAAAAAAAAAAAAAAAAAAAAAAATATATTATGTTTCGTACAGGGTAAACTTACACAAACTGAAACGTGATCATCTTGCATAATTGGCTAATTGATTTTTTTTTGTTGTTCAAAATATTAGAACGTGTATCTTATTACTCATTTACAAAACAAAACAAAGCAAGGCAAGTTCCTCCTCCTCAGAGAGAGTCCTGAGGCAGATCCTTGCTCCACATCAACGCCTCGCAACCCCCCCCCCCTTCCCCCCCTCCATCACCAACTGCATTTCTGACCTTCTCGATTTTCTGCCGGGCGTCGTTCCATTAATTATAGACGGGGAGAAAAATGGTCTTCTCGGGAGGTTTTGACTCGTTCTTCTTCTATAATAGAAAGGGTTGAGTTTTAGAAGCTCGGTCGTTCCAAAGAGGTTTGTTTATTTTCTTGTGTGTGGGGGTTGTGGCTGTGTTCTACAGAGAATAAAATTGAGTCGGGATATTTTGAAAAATAAAAGAAGGCTTGAATACCTTTCTGTCAATTTTATTTATCTTTTGTATTTTTTCGCTCTTCTAGAGAACACTTGTTTGTCAACTCTTACTAAGGACCATGGGAACTCCCACTGGAAGATTCAAAACGTCATCGAAATACTTTCAATGCTTGGGCGCAAGGGATCTAAACAGAAGTAGAGACCAAGGAAAACACGGTGATTTCTAAC